GTCTACAGTTTCAGCCAACATTTCCTTTTATGGTAGTGGGTGTACATGTATGTGTACAACAGTTGCTCCGAAAACACATCACTCATAATTCTCCTAAAACACAGGTGTGAAATACTGTATTCAGGTGCGACAAATCTTGGTCAAACCAACCCTCGCGGATTAACTTAGTAGTCAACACGTTTCGACCTTGCCCTTGGTTCATTGTTTACCCCTGGTCACATGACAGAAGATTATCAACAGAGGCGTGAATTCGGATATAGTCGATGTTTAAAATAATTTTGGTACTTTACTGTTGAGCGTGAAACTGTGAAAAGACGTGAACTTTGTCAGTTGGATGCTTGGTCTCAGAAAATATCCGGCGCTAAAACCTTACCCTAACCTTTAATTAAGACTATACTTTACGTTTGGAACTTGAGTAGAAATTCCCTTAAATCATAAACTCCCCTGGCATATTAGATTCGCTAATTAGATCTTAAGGTTGTTACTAACAGAAATTCCAGAGTAGCCTTGAACTTTAACCCATCAAATCTTGCTAGGAAACACCGATGTATTTTTGTACCTGGACCCCACCTTATTTGTGTGCCTGGCTTCCGGTACGTTTGGGTGCGCAGTCGATTGATTTCTATTTGATCGATGCAACACATGGTCGCTTAAAAGTCGTTCAGAAATCCAATGTTTAACTCCCAGAACTCGATCTTGTTTTTAACACCTAGTACTGGATCTTCGGCAAGCCTAATATGAACAAGAACCCAATACGCTCTAAAAGTTTGACCAAAAGTTAAGAAAAAAAAGTTATTTTATAGCTACCTTCATAGACTAATTTAAGTGACCTGACAAATCGTCTACTACTACTACTAGTAAACAAAAACTAAAAAAAAAAAACAACTATCTAAAACAGTGGTTCTTAACCTTTTGGGGGTACCGAACCAACCCAGTTTCTTTATCGTGAATAATCTTGAGTCAGCTGTTCGCCTTGAACTACACCGAACCACTATGACTGACTCATCGAACCCCCTGGGCATTCAATTGACCCCAGGTTAAGAACCACTGATCTATTATATGTTTATTATTACTGACACCTCTATCGGAGTTTGGATATCTTAACTTCAAAAATGTGACAAATGAGTAAAATAGACTGACTTCAGGGGGAAATATGAAATAGCGTTAATGCGATTATGATTGGGCCCCCGGACAAGTGCCCAATAAGCCCATGGGGTAAGACGGGCCCGATCAGCTGTTTTGACAGCTTGACGCCATCATCCTTCGAACGTCAACACATAAGTGACGTACACACAGGGGGAGACTACTCAAGCCTCTGTTTTTAATGCTTTCTTTTAAAACATAATCTTCTTAGAATGCGTGTGTGTATTGACTTTTTAAAAAAGTATTGTTGGATGTCAACAAAAGATCGACATCAGTGCTAAAAATAGCTGTATAGGAAGATTTGGTTTATGATAGTAACTCAATATTTACACAAGGGGGCGCTGTGTTGGCTTAATTTTCCAAAATGTCGCGTTCGGCCCGTGACTGTCGTATGTTTACTTCATCTGATAATCTCCACCAAGTAGGTTAACAGTGCGAATGAATTTCTAAAAATAGAGTCAAATGCTATTACTATTGGAATGATCGCACCCGCTTTAAGTATGCACCCATGAAAGGTAGCACATGTATTATGTATGATAGATGAATGCCGCTTGCAATACACCCCTACATCCTCTTCACCCCCCCCCCCCCTCCGGCGCTAATGCATTGGACCGATTAACCAAATTTAGCGAACTACACATTTGATGTATTGAAGTATGGATAGCGTTTTAATGCTACTGTGGTAACTTATCAAGTGTGTATAGGATGGGTGACAGCCTGTTGATACTGGCGTGGTATCGTGTCTAGTGTGTGTTGTATGACTAGGGTAGAGCTTTATTAATGGTGTAGTACTAGCATATTAAAGAGTTGTATGGGCAGGATGATGTAGTATTGCGTGGTATGTCTAGGATAGACCTTTAGTACTTTAATGCTGTGTTCTATGTCTAGTATAAACCTTTGATGATGTAGTACTTTCATATTAAAGCGTTGTATGTGCAGAATGATGTAGTATTACGTCGTATGTCTAGGATATAACTTCATTAATGTTGTAGTACTAGCAAATTGTTGTATGTGCAGAAAGATGTAGTGTTGCGTGGTATGTCTAGAATTCATTAGTACTATAGTGCTGTGTTGTATGTCTAGGATAAACCTTTAATGCTGTGGTACTTTAATATAAAAGTATTGTATTACCATAATAATGTATTTCTACGATAGACCTTTAGTACTGTAGTACTGTGTCAACGATAGACCTTTAATTCTGTAGTGCTGTGTTGTATGTCTACGATAGACCTTTAGTGCTGTGTTGTATGTATACGATAGACCTTTAGTACTGTGTTGTATGTCTACGATAGACCTTTAGTGCTGTGTTGTATGTCTACGATAGACCTTTAGTGCTGTAGTGCTGTGTTGTATGTCTACGATAGACCTTTAGTGCTGTGTTGTATGTCTACGATAGACCTTTAGTGCTGTGTTGTATGTCTACGATAGACCTTTAGTGCTGTGTTGTATGTCTACGATAGACCTTTAGTGCAGTAGTGCTATCTTATTTAAGACGTGGACGTAAGTCACAGGTATGCGTGAATGGTGGAACATGAATGAACCGATGCCGTCATTAACATCGATCCCACTCTGGTTTCATTCTCACCTTTTAGATTTGCATAAAACTTTTTCTCCGAGTCGATCCTAAGCTCACACAAGCCACCTATTTTTAGCCACGGGAAGTAATAACATTTTCTTGGGAGCGTATTTATGAACATTTTATCAGCGGGGTTACATTTTACTAACAAATGTCTTATTTAAATATGTTGACGAGCGTGCTCGGTGCAGAGACAAGCGAGGCGGATTCTGTGTCTGTCGTATAGGAATGCGGGAGGGGCTGGCTTAACTCAATTTTATAATACCTTTTTAATGAGGTAAACGTCGCAGATATGTTGATTAACTTGAAATAGATACGACACAATGTAAACAATAGGAGTGTGTATCGTAGTGGGATTTTCTTTTTCCTATCCACCTAATGTGAATGAGTTGCTTGAGTAGTTTATGGAGTGGTTCCCCTGTGGCCAAGAAATCGATACTATTATTCTCCTATAATACAATGGCCGCAATGTGCGAAAGATAATGACATGTCAAGAAGTCATCATCTTAAAAGAAAACAAAAAATCAGACAATACATTTTTAATTATTTTTTTTTAAAGTAAATTTAGCGTATTGGAAATTAAATTATTTCCCACGGTATTTTTTTTTTTTTATGATGGCCTAGTCATCGATGCGGTATTTATGGGCTTCAAGACAAGAACCGTAACCTGCCGTGTTAGGTGTTTGTTGACCCGGATACCGTCCGCATTCCTCTTGTCTCTTCAACTCAACACTACTTCCACCTACTTGTTCGTCGCTCACCTACATACAGGGTAGCCTAAAGACACGAGGATGTGCACTCGTGTACCTCGTCTCAGGCTCGGGGCGCTGTAAAATATGCTGTTACTATTTTTACCACTGGGGAATATGCTTTAGCAATCAGCGTGTATGAAAAACACAGACGCGTTAGCATATCATCAAAATAAAAACAGACTAAAGCACTTGACACTCAACGAAAAAAAAATTACTAATTGATAAAACATGAATTTCACTTTGTGCTTAAAGCGAATTTAAACATTTTTGAATCAGTTTAGATGGAAATACTCATCATTACATTTGTATATGATTTTTTGTGATTTAACTTATGACCAAAAAACAATACCCACGTACAAAGATACAGTCAGTTATGCCAATTTCTGTTAGCTGGCAATATAGTTCACATGGACAAATTAGCTTGGACCCTATGCTTTGTAGAGAGCCAAAACAAAATAGTTAGTGAGGATGGAAGGGTTCAATATCAGCTGGCACAAGTTCCCGCATCAATTCACAGAACTTGTACATAAACATGTTCTAAAACTTCAACAGGTTGTAAGCTAAACTGCTGTTGCTGGCACAAAAGTTTGTTGCTCTCATGTGCCAGGTTGCACTTGCATGTTTATCTAACATCACTCTACTGCACTAGCCATGGACCTGCTGTTAAGTGTGGATATAAATAGATATGCCACCCTCCCCCTACACCCAATATAAATAGATGTCTGCTGTTTACTCCCCCCCCCCCAACCTTACACCCATCCATCCGATATACATATATGTCTGCATATCTCATCTCCCCACCTACCCCCCCACCCCCCACCTTTTACTTTTAATGCATCCATTCCATGCTACTACACTGTTACTTTCATTAGGTAGATATTTTACTCATCAGAGAGTATCATTAATTAGTTTCCATGCTGTCGACATCATTAATATGTCATCACAAAGCTTTTAAAAAGAAGACTCACTTTAAGCATAACATTTATTAATTTGATGAAAAACCTTTTACAATTTATCTTCTGTTATAATGTTTATATTTTTAATTAAATTAAAATGTTAGAGGTGATAAAATTTTTACACACGTCATGGAGTTATCGTTTTTTGTTAATTAATTTTTTTATGGCTGGGTTACTACGAGGCTGTGTTGGATTCTTCCTTTCATAGCCAGCATGAATGTGCTGCGCTACACTAGAGGGCTTAGGGCTGACATTGTGGAATGGGGTAAACCCACTGTGACAGTTTTATATCCCAATAATTTAGTCATGGTTGGAATTTCCCATTCAAATGTTATTCAATAACCTGTGACTCATTCATGTATTCCTTATATGTGCTGTGTTGATTTTGAAAGTTAAAATATGTTTTAAGTGAGAATAACTATCTTTAACAAAGTTATATACCATGTTGTTATGTTTTAATGGTCTTAAATTTCCTAATTATGAACTTATAAAAGGCCATAGATGGTTGTCTAGATGGTTTTAGTTATTCTAATTGTGAACTAACTTATTTTTTTCTCTTTCTTTCCATTGTAGGATGACTTTGATGCTATCCGTCCACTCTGCTACCCCAACACAGACATTTTTCTCCTATGCTTCAGTGTGGTGTCCCCCACATCTTTCAACAACATCTTTGAAAAATGGGTCCCGGAAATCAAGAAACATTCACCCAAAGTGCCCATGCTGCTTATCGGGACCCAGTGTGACCTTCGCAACGACGTCAAAATTTTAATCGAACTTGCCTCCTACAAGGAGAAACCGGTCTCTGAAAGTGATGCCATCCGATTGGCTCACGACATTGGGGCAGTCCATTACGTGGAGTGCTCCGCCCTGACCCAGAAGAACCTGAAGGATGTGTTTGACCAGGCCATCCTGGCATCTCTGAACTACATACCAGATTTAAGTCATTCCAAGGAGTTTAGGAGATCCTACCGTAAGAAGTACAGCGTCAATGAGAGGCAGAGCGCAAGTCTCAAGAAGGCTGGGTGGAAAAAGTTCTGTTGTTTTTTGTGATTTCCTGGAGGCACCGTACCCAACGCTGTAACTTATTAAAGGTAAAGCCTTTGCTCTAGTGTGTTGGATACTATAATAAACATTTGTCTAGTGTATTGAATACTGTATAGAACATTGGTTTAGTGTCTTTAATACTGTGCAAAACATTGGTCTAGTGTGGTGGATACTGTACAGAACATTGGTCTAGTGTGTTGGATACTGTGCAGAACATTGGTCTAGTGTGTTGGATACTGTACAAAAATGAACCTTTGGTCCAGTTTTTGCTGCTGAGAACCTGCTATTAAGTCCAGCCATGCAGTACATATGTGGACATCAGTTAGACTGGACATCAGTTAGACTGGACATCAGTTAGACGTTAGTATTATTTGTGGAAATGGTGGGCAGTTATAGGTGTTAAATTAGGCGTGTAAACTGTTAAGACTGTAACATACAAAGTGTGACGTCTATGATGTCTTTAACATATCTGACAGATGTCTATGACTTAGTGTCAGCTACACATGATGATGGCTGACAAATGATGTATGTCAGTGCCACAACTTTAGTCTTATCCATTGTATATAAGAAAATCATGCCACTTGCGAAGTGTGTACTATTTGCTTTTCAAAATACAGATAACGGTTTATCTAAAACAGACATGTTCACAACAATTTTATTGCATTCTGAGAATGTTGCTTGTTTTAAAAATTATCTCTTGATTTATTTTAAAGAAAAGTTTTGCTTCAAATGTAAATAGTTTTTAAATGTATCATATCAAAGTTTGTTTTATGAGAACTTGATTAGTTTGACATGTTAGTATTAGCCACGAAGCTCCTCATTTGTCATGAAAGTACAAACTTTTTATCAAATCATTTGGATGAATAAGGAAAGCTTATCCTATTTTAGTATTTTTTAAACACGTTTTTAAATTGTATAAAGCTTTTTTAAAAGGGAAATTCAAAAATAACTTGAGCCAACTTGACTGTTTTGCTGTTTCTTAAAGTACTCATATTCCAGCTGTACTTTGAAGACTTGTTAACCATTAAGGAACATGTATGATAGTAGTACTTAATGTTACATCTGCTGCTTATGGCGGTGTTGTATAATTTCAACAACTAGCTCGTCTACACTGTTTAACCAGCTCAAAAGAAAACTATGGCTCCCGGTATTATTTTTCTTTTAGTGATAGCGATCTTAAGATTAAAGCAAAGTCTAGCTGGAAGTGAAACAGTTCATGTAATGAATACATCTAAATAGCTTCAAGAAATGAATCCCTTGGTGTAAAATATTCTTGTGGGTGTTAAGTACTGGATTGAATCCAGACAGGTCACTGTCACGGATCAGCGACCACAGGAAGTTTTCACAGGTAAAGCGAAGCTAGGATTATGTAGGAGACAGCTGATGAGTCATAATCCAGCAGAATAAATGTAGGGATAATGTGTGATTAAGTTCAACCATACAACCCGTTGGTAGTTTCTTTCAACCAAGTATTAGCGGCAGTTTAGCCAGTTTTTTAAAAGCCTCCCCCACAGCCTGAGTGTGTTTGGGAAATGTGTGCTTAGTATAATGGGAGGGAGGGGGTGGAGTAATAGTTAACAAATATGTGCTTAGTCTGGTTAATTTTTGGTACAAGTGTTCAATTATTTATCTACCCTCTCCCATCCCACACAAAGGAGGTTGAAACTTAAACATTTTTGATCGGTATCTAATGCGTGTAATTCTGCTTTTATATCTAAAAATTAACTTTAATAATTTAAAAATATTTTATTTTTATTTATTGTACAAGTAGTATTATCCTAATAAACTAAAATTTAATTGTAAATTTCAAGCACTAAATTTATAATCAAAGATATATTTGAAATTGTTTTTTTTTTTGCTTATATTTATTTTACATTGTGAAAGTGTTACATTTTTTGTGAATTAAAAAAAAAAATTATGAAAGTCTTGTATTTAATTGTAAGAAATCTTCTGTCTCCATAACTGGCTGGGATATGACAATAGACACTGTAAAATTGTACACTAATTAATGTTTTTCTAAGATAATTGCATTGGCTGATGTTTATGTTCAGTGGCAGTCTTGTCTTCCTTTCTATTTAACATTGTAATGAACTTATATTGTGCCTTATATTATAAATTGTTTATTGTTTTTTATAATTTTCCTTTTAAATCTTTAAGTTTTAAGCTTAGTAATAAAAAATATTAAAATGTTTAAAATTTTGATATGCTGCTGTATGAAGATAAGCCTGGTGTATTGCATGTTAGGTTACCTGCTTATGTAAAGAGATAGATTAAATGGTTGGTTTTTTTTACTAACAGCTATCTCAGGTATGCTAACACTAAAGAAAAACACCTTTAGATTCTCAGCTTGTATACTTTAAAATATGAAATCTTTAACCCAGGCATTTTTTATCATTGAAAAAAGGAGAGTTAATACAGTGCTATTTTTAGATTTTTTTTGCACTAGGTTTACCTGGAGTGTGTAATTTTTGGGTTAATCATATCAGTAGCCTATAATATATTTCATTTTAATCCTTGTAATGCTTTTAGCTGTCGCTCTTTAATTCCCATATTTATAAAACACATGGCTTTTTTTCCTCCGGTAAAGTAATTTGCTACTGAACAGTTTAAAAATATTACTGTCTGTTCTTAGCTATATTGGAAAAATGTACATAGTCTGAACTAGGTTATATGATGAGATAAGAGTGGGTTGAGTTGAAATTGCAACCAATTTTAAAGAAATATCAATTTAAGTTTTTAACTAGGATTCCCAACATTAACAGCTGTTTATTTTTAGGATAGTTTTATTTCTTGTGTAGGAATGATAAAATGATAGAAATTTGTTTGATTATATTAAACAACCCTGCTTAAGTCATATCTCATAATAGTTTTACACATTGTGTTTTTGTGAGAAGGTTCTTTAAACCAAATACATAACTTAAAGTCTACTCTACCCGTATGGCTGTGTTATTGTAACACAGTTCTACAAACCCAGTTAACTGCCAACAAGTGTGCATGAGTCAATCAGCCTGGGGGGTTATTGCCTTATTGATTTGACCTGCTGGGGACAACACTGGGATGTGGGGGGATTGGGGAGGTCTGGCGTGTTGCACTGGTCTCAGAAATTATAAATCACATTATAGTCTGGGTGGTAGGGGATTGAATGAGGCTGTACCATTCAGCTGGGTTTGAACCATTCAAAATGCACATTCACCCAAAGCCTTTGATGTGAAGTGATAATAGCTAGCATTGTGGGTGGTGCTGCCCGTTGTGAATGTTTTAAAGATTTAATTGGTGTTAATTAAAACCCAATCAGTTGATCTAAGAAAAACATCAGTCTGAATTATTTTAGAGATTGGTGACTATAAGGGAACATAAGGCAATGATTTCATAACATAACCCCAGGGCTTTTATAATTGACTAATTGTAGAACACATTGTAGGAATAAAGCTATTTAAGATTCCAGTTCTAACACTAGTAGGTTACTGGTACTTAATTTCATCCTTCATATCTATTTTCTTACTTGAACATTTTATCAATGTGTGGGTTATTTCTTTGTTTTTAGATTTATAATATCCTTCTTGTAAAATTAAATTTGATATGTACTTTGGACATTGCATTTTGTAAATGTCTCTTAGTATTCCTTTTATCAGGGTTTTTTCCCCTCATAGTAGTCATTGGTTTGTAGTTTCACCTAATTGGCCAAGTTTTGGATTTCAGTTAATACCCCTTTTTAAGTGTGTGGTATAGTTTTAGAATTTAAATTCCCTTGTCCCTTTAGCATCTCTGTTAACTGCATTGTCCTCTTATTCATCCTCTCCTTTTGTTACTCTGTCTTAGAAGGTTTGAAAAATCTCCCCCAAACACACTTGAGTGATTTTTATTGAAAACTTTCCTAAATTACATGGTTTGAAGTTTACAAAACGTTTTTAATTAGTGTACAGGGTTTATTTTGTGTACAAAAAAAAATTTTCTAAAGCATTTTTTATGTTTTATTATTGTGTACATGACACCTGAATCAAGGTTTTATTTTAATCAGTAATATACCTACTGGTCTTTCTTCATCTGTGTCCCATAAGTGCTTTCATCAAAGATGACATGACTGTGTGACGTGTACAAAGCTGGAGGTGGTATTTTGTTCTCACTCAGACATAATAACAAAACACATATATCACTTTGAATTTGTTTCAAATAGGGCTGGGAAGTAGGTCACCAACCAGTTCTTTGGCTCAATAAAACATGCATGAACCATAGAACTGGTTAGTGACCTACTTACCAGCCCCATTGTAATTAAAAATCAATATTTTAAGTTTCTTGCTAATTTTTTTTTAGTTTTAAAATTGATGGTTAAAATAAATAAGATTATGTGCTGTGTGAATCAAATTGTTATGAGTAAAATAATGACTAAAAATTGTTGATAAAATATTACATTCTTGACATTATTGTAGTGATATATTTTTTTTATCTTTCAAAGATGTCACATTACCTGTGGTATCTATATATTTGTAGCTAAAACAAATTGAAAGATGAGTTTGTTAGTGATATATTGTAATAAAGCAAATACTTATATTTGGGTCTTTCGGTCTACTATGTACTTAATTACCAGCCCAGATTTTTTTTAAAGTCTATGCACTTTCTTATCACATGATTGATTCTACTTGATTGTAACAATTGCATAGTCATCTATCAGTCCTCCACATTTGGCATGATTCACTGTAAATTTATCTGGCCTTGTACATATTGGACCCCACGTGACGGTGACGTCACGGGAGTCGTCAGGAGTCAGCTGCACTGATAACGCGCATTCAGCTGATAAGTAAAGATGTCATTTCTTAATTAAAACATTGATTTGAATCTGATGTTGCTTCGATCATGAACAAAATAAAACATGTTATTTGAACAATGCAAATACAGGCGTCTGTTTTTCTTCTGTATTTTGTGTTAGGCCTAGATTCTAGGTTTTTATTTTGTGTTATTAAATCTATGGTATAGAGACGTCGAAAGTCCACAAAACTGAGAATAACAAGCGGTTTATAAAAAGTCGTTTGGGTAAAAAATTACATTAAGGCTATAGTCTACGTTAAATAAAACAAAAATGAAGATAGAAATACAATATATTTTATTCATTTCATTAATTTACATAAAGCAGTCAATGCGATTAAGATTTAAGTAGGCTTACATATTTTTTTCCTTCCCATTATTGATTATATCAATACTCTACCTGCTTAGTGGTTTCATATATTTTTATTGGTTTGAGTTAAAGATTTCTTCTGAATGGGACGTGAACAAGGACTTGGGTGGTACCAGCTTTGGCTGACTTGTGTGTGACCTTTGTCCTCTCAGAAACCCGATCTCGGTCGACAGGTTAAGGGAGGGTGTTGTCAGATTAGCTCAAGTTTTAGATTGATACTTGGGATAATCCCAATCTGGGAGGTGTGCGTGTGTGTGATCACACCTCAGCTGAAGGACCGTCTAGTCGTGACCAGGTGAGGCAGGGCCTACCTTGGCCCGACCCCGGGACTCTTGTGAAATGACGCTCTACCACTCTGTATGTAAACAGTGAAGGTGACTCGGTCCGCACCAAGCCCTCAAACAGTCGCCACTGATTCATCCTGCTACACACGGGGGCCATCATGGTGGCCTGCTGTAAGCAGTCAGTCAAGCGTGACAGGAAGTTTCTGCCTGTGTGTGTAGAGGGGGGGGGGGGAGGGTCAGACTGTGCCTGTTGATAAATAAAAAACGAAACGACATTGAAACTCCCACCGTTCTTCAACTCTCGGAGGCGTGAATGTAACATAATGAACCGGTACATGCGTGTAGAAATCACGGCGACAGGGGAATTAACTCTAATTATCTTTCTATTTTTAACTTTCGGGTTTTTAAATTCTTAATATATTAAGTAAGGCGTGTAAGCACAGTGTTGAATAAACCACGATAGTTTAATTTCTTGGGTGTTGTGTGTAGGTTTCATCTTTATTATTCATTTTATGAACTTTGTGACCAGAAGGTCGTAATTCATTGTTGTCAGTCAAAATTAAATACACTTTAATTAAAAGTTTCGTCTGATTTACCATAGTTTTTTTTTTAATGTACATATTGTTTTACCTCTTCATTTACGTCCTATTATGTCCCTTTAATTGTAGTTACTTGTTATTTCCCTTTAGCTAGTCTTGTTATAACCCTTTGGTTTGTCCCATTATTTGCCTTTAACTTCCTATACAAAACTACGAGAGGGTAATTGGCGTCGATTAAACTCATCAGTAAAAACGCAATGCACATTAATTAATTAAAACTTTCGTCTAATTAACCACAGGCTCCAATGGGCTACATTAACCCCCAAACAGGTCTTAAACGTTTAGCCCTAACCATAGTTAACGTCAATACCGGATATATGCATTTATGAGTAAAAGATCAAATAAACTAACGTACTTATGTCTATAAATACCTCAATTCTTAAACCAGAGGCGCCCGGGGACGAAGTTTCAATTTGGCGCCCTCCCCCCTCCCCGGGGACAAACTTAATTTGCCCCCCCCCCTATGTTTTTTATATTTATGTTGCAAATCAAAACTGCAGGTAAAATGAGCTTTTAATTTTTTTTTTTCCAACCCATTTTGGCGACCCCTAGGGTTGGCGCCCGGGGACATATGTACCCCATGCACCCCCCCCCCTCGTTACGCCTCTGTCTTAAACGCCTGATCAAGTGCACTGATGACCGCATAGCTTCCGCTGACCGAAGCTTAAAACACATGACTTAATAGTCTGGCCATGAGTTACTTACTAGATCTATAACGAACCTAACATTTTAGAACTGAGCTATAACACTATATTTTTCTAGAAAAGTGAGATCATTAATTACTTTTTAATAGGCTGATTCTGAAATAATATTGTTTCTAAAAATATCGCAATGGTCACATTAAATTTTGTCTAGCCTCTTTTAAAATGTGTTTTTAATCTGTCCCGAGGCTAATAGTCGATGCTTTCATTATTTGCTATTTTAAGACCCGTCGACCTGTCTCCAAGTTACCCACCTACCTGTGTGGTCTTACCCCCAACCCCCAAACAACGACAGCACCCTGCAGTTGTACCCCCCCCTTCCCCGTGGCCATTAGGTTGTTGTATCGCCAATTACGGACGGGAACATGAGAGATAAGGGTTAAAGTTAATCTGGTTAAGCTTGGGGTTAAGTTTAGCCGAAATAATCCACCGGTGTTTTCATGGCCGGGTTTGTTTTTTTCGGTGTTTTTTTTAGGGGTGTGGGGGTGGGAGGGGGGGGGGGGTGCGGGTGGGGTGGGGTGGGATAGGTGTTCGGAGTGTAGTTAAGCTGAAAGGCCAACAGCTGGGTAATGTGAACCATTGTATTTTAGAATCAGATGAACATGGATGGAGAACACGAGTCGGCTGAAAGCTATCTGAAACACATGCACACATAAAGACTAAAATAGTGGTAGAAATATCTTTTTAAAGGGAGACTGTCATGGTTATACCATCTAGACAGAACATCGAATCTCTTAAGGGCACTGTTAGCTTAGGGACTGGGTATATATGTAGGGACTATATGAGCTCAGGGACTATGTGAGTTGAGGGACCTTTAGAGCTTAGGGATTCTAAGAGGTGAGCTTATAGAACCCGTAAGCTTTCGGATCATGTAAGCATACGGACCCTGAGAGCTTAGGGACTAGGTGAGCTAACGATTCTAAGAGTTTAGTGACCTCGTAAGCTTCCGGATCACGTGAGCATATGGGACGGGTGAGCTTAGGGACTATGTGAGCTAAAGACTCTATGAGCTTAGAGAATCCGTAAGCTTCAGGATCATGTCAGCATATGGGCCCAGTGAGAATATTCACCAGGTGACGTACTCTATGAGCTTAGTGATCATATAAGCACCGTTAAGCATAATGGCCCTTTAAAATACAGGTACGCTACGTGCTAATGAGCCCTCTAAGGACCCTATAAGTACAATGCCACCAAGTACAGTTTACAAATGTTAAGTTATAACCCTCCCATCGACAACACAGTGCTAACACCTCATTATCAAATTCTGGCACCAAAACAAGGTGTGGTGTAGACAATATAAGTTATATAACGAGGGCGTCTCGGTGCACTGGTGCCCCCCACGGGGATGTTCAGACGGCTATGGTCAAGACCTGACCCTAATTAATGGCAGTGGACTTGGTCACTTGCAAACATTGACTGACCACTGCCTTGTGGGAGGGACGTTGAGACGTTGTGACTCATTGGTCAGAGAGAAAGAAAAATGTGTGCGGGGTCGTGTGTGGTCAGGGAAGTTTTGTGTGGTGTGTGTGTGTGAGTGGAGTGTAAATAGTGAGAGTGCGGTCTGTGTGTGTTTGTTGAGTGTTATTCAGTGTCTATGCTGTAGTAATATTAGATATTTTACCCCACCCCCACCCCATTTACGCGTTCTCACCAAGATTACAAAAGAAACCTCATTTCGGCGTCTTATCACGGGCAAATATTACTCGAAGATTTGTCTTCAAGTTTTCATTATTGGACAGGTTTCATATCATCGGGCTGGCAAATTTTCTTCATTTCGACATAACCACCTTTTAACAACTGGGGTATAAAGACATGTACATACACACACACACACACACACATATATATATATATATATATATATATATATATATATATATATATATATATATATATATATATATATATATATATATATATATATATATATTACTAGGACGAATTATCCATTGTAAGTAAACGAACTTAAGTCAATCAACAGACTAGAAATAAAAGTAACCTATCCCATATATATATATATATATATTATATACAAACTTGAACTGAGCAGAACAAATCAGTGAACTGTCGAAGCTTGAACAAAATTTCAGCTGCCCACGCCAAATTGTTCAGCGTATCAACCTGCTCAACAAACTCCCCGTCCCCCCACCATCTCCCCCTCCCCATACACACGTACACAAAGTCCCCCCATTAAGCAAATCACCTACGGGCATCAACCTGTCGCCCCCAATCCACGCCCGCGATCTCTGAGTGCCTTGTAATCCAATTACCTCCCATTAGGCGGAGAGCCCCCTGTAGTATTGATACACCACTCACCAATGCCTGGATCTACTGATCAATACAACAGATCTGGCCCGTATGTTAGGGCTACAATCCACTTCTCACTCTACGGTGGCCTTGACCGTACGGTGTGTGTGGTCAATCGATTGTAGGCATCAAGTATGTTAGTATCGGGTTGTCGTTCGTTACGTACATCTTGTATACAACAGTCAGTCTTAATGGGTTATTCTTTCTTCTGTTGTGTCAAGTCTCAGCAGTTGTGTCAAGTCTCTTTCTGCTGTTGTGTCAAGTCTCTTTCTGCTGTTGTGGCAAGTCTCTTTCTGCTGTTGTGGCAAGTCTCTTTCTTCTGTTGTGTCAAGTCTCTTTCTGCTGTTGTGTCAAGTCTCACCTGTTGTGGCAAGTCTCTTTCTTCTGTTCTGTCAAGTCTCTTTCTGATATTGTGGCAAGTCTCTTTCTGCTGTTGTGTCAAGTCTCTTTCTGCTGTTGTGTCAAGTCTCTTTCTTCTGTTGTGTCAAGTCTCTTTCTGCTGTTGTGTCAAGTCTCTTTCTGCTGTTGTGGCAAGTCTCACCTGTTGTGGCAAGTCTCTTTCTTCTGTTGTATCAAGTCTCTTTCTGCTGTTGTGGCAAGTCTCTTTCTTCTGTTGTGTCAAGTCTCTTAGGCTGTTGTGTCAAGTCTCTTTCTGCTGTTGTGTCAAGTCTCTTTCTGCTGCTGTGTCAAGTCTCACCTGTTGTGGCAAGTCTCTTTCTGCTGTTGTGTCAAGTCTCTTTCTGCTGTTGTGTCAAGTCTCTTTCTGCTGTTGTGTCAAGTCTCTTTCTGCTGTTGTGGCAAGTCTCACCTGTTGTGGCAAG